GCTTAAAGCTTTTAAAGGTTGATAGCATAAGTCTGGTTTTTATCCCAAGATGTATGAAATTTCTAAATTTTGGCAGTTCTTGCTTGCTGTTCTTAAAATGAAGCACAATTATAGCCTTTTGACTGTTGAGAGAAATTAAAATTTAAAGAAGGAGCAAAATAGAATATTCTCTAGTATATAAGGGTATGGTTTTTTTCCTTTGTACTTTCACACACATTGTAATATATGAATTCAGGGCTTAAGCATCACATGAACCTCCTGGGCCATCATTCTCTTCCGGAGCTCACCGAACTGCTGAAGGAGCCCGAGAAAGATTTTAAACTATTCTTTTAATTTATATAACAGTTATATGACAATTCTGACTTTATAGTTATTATTGTGTCAATTTTAATAAGTTACTTTTCTAGGAATGTTTTCATTTAACACAAATTTTCAAATATAGTGGCATAAAGTCCATAGTGTTCTCCTAGTTTTTAATTCCTTCTCTCTATAGTTGCATTCCCATTTTATTATTTTATTCTTTATTTTGTACCATCTCTCCCTCTTTTTCCATCAATTTCACCAGAAGTTTGTCTATTTTATTTGTCTCTTTAAGAACCACCTTTTGGCCCAGTTGATCTTGTATGTCTATTTTCTTCCACATTGATTTCTGTCCTCTTTTTGTCATCTCCTTTCTGCTTTATTCAGTCATATTCTGTTTTTCCTTTTCTAACTCCTTAAGTCGAATACTTATTAGGTTATTATATTTCTTTATACATATATACACATTGACTAAGTGTTTTATTCATTTCTTTGTTTTCTGGATTTTTTTTTTGTGGGGGAGGTAATTAGGTTTGTTTGTTTGTTTATTTAAATGGAGGTCCTGGGGACTGAACCCATGACCTGGTGCACACTAAGTATGCACTCTGCCACTGAGCTATACCCTCCCCCCTATTTATTTATTTATTTTTAATGGAGGTACTGGGGATTGAACCCAGGACCTGATACATGCTAAGCAGTCACTCTACTACTGAGCTATACCCTCCCCACCAGGTCATTAAATTTCTGCCTTTTAAAAAATATTTTAAGCATTTAAAACTATACATTTCCCTTTAAATGTTATTTTTGGTGCATCTGCTAAGTTTAAATATGTAAGCTTTTCACTGTCACGCATTTCTAAGTATATTTTATTTTACTTGTAATCTGTTTTAAATTGTACTTTATAATCTCTGAATATGTGGGTACTTTTAAATTTACCTATTTACTATTGGCTTCTAATTTAGTTGACTTGGGGTAGAGATTGTGAGCTTTATGACACTGATTCTTCTTAATCTATTGACACTTACTTTATGTGCTTATGTATGATCAGTTTTTGAAAATGACCCATGTGTGCTTGAGAAAAATGTCTGTTCTCCAATTGGATGCAGAGTTCTACACGTGTTTTTATATCAAGTTTGTTAATTTGTTTTTCAACTCTTCCATATCTTTACAGATTTGGGGGCTGTGTAATCAATGCATTTTGAAAGGGGGATATTGAAATCCTCTTTTGTGGTGGTATATTTGTTTTTTCCTGCAGTTTTGTCTTCTTTTGCTTTGCATATTTTGAGGCCATTTTACTAGGTGCATGCAAGTTTAAAATAACTATATCTTACTGTGAACAAAACTTTTTTCAATACAATGATTTCTCTATTCTTAATAATATTTTCCCCCTTAAACCTTATACTGTAACTATATCAGCTTTATTTATGTTGGTGTTTGCCTACATATTTTCCCACACTTTTACTTTCATCCTTTACATATCTTTATATTTCAGATATATTGCTTCTAAATTGCATAAAACTGGATTTTCATGAAATCCTGTTTGATTTTCTCTTTTAACTAATGAATTTAATCTCTTTATAATTATTGGGATAATAACTTATTTGAATTTGTTTCTACATACTATCTTTTAAATAAAATTTTTATTTTGGAAAAATTTTAGATTCACAGAAAAATTGCAAAAATAGTGCGAACGTTCCCATACCCAGTTTCCACTCAGGTTAATATCTTACACAACTATGATACATTTGTCAAGCCTAAGAAATTAATATCAGTACGTTATTGTTAACAAAATCAGACTTTATTCAGTCTCACCAGTTTTCCCACTAACGTCTGTTTTCTGTTCAAGGATCCAATCCAAGCTATCACTTTGTATTTAGCCATATTATTGAAGAGTTTTATTTGTCCCACTTTTTCAATGCTGCTTGCATGCTTTAGACTAAGTTTGTTTGCTTGTGTTCTCATTATTTTTTCCCCATCCACCTGTTTCAAATTTATATGATCCATTTATATTTTTAAGTGGTTACCCTTGAAATTATACCATGCATATTTACTTTAACAAAGCCTGAGTTTGAACAATATCTTAATGCGCTTCTGGAACAGTACAAGGATCATAGAGCTCTTTGATTATTCATCCTTCTGACTAACATGCTGTTGTTCATTATTTTATCAGGCTTTTTAAAAGTCTACAACCATTCTTATTATTATTATTTACAAGCAGTGTTTGTTTCCATTTTTTATGTGTTCACCGTTTTCCCCTCTTTTCCCCATTCCTTCTTACATTTCAGACTGTCTTTCAAGATGATTTTCTTTCTGAGTGGCATATATTCCTTTAGTGCAGATCTAGATTTAGCAGTGTTTTAACTTTAGCTCCCCAGAAAGCAGAAGCTTTAGAATTCTTTTATTGAGAGCCTCAGTCCCAGGGAATTAGGAAGGACAGCAAAAGGAGTGAGGCATGTCAGGAGGAGAATATGAACTAAAGTGAAGTTGCTGGTGTCACTGCTACTACTTAGTGTCAGGCACTCTGGGTTGCATGCTTTCCGAGAGGGTATGGGCTACTCTTGTATCTCCAGGGCTGGGAGGGTGTGTATGGGAAGAGACATGAGTTTGTTCACCGGGTTCCATCTCCAGTTGGTCAAAGTTTAAGTTCCATCACATAGCATATAACTCCTCTGTGTTTCTGGGTTGCACATGTGTGTTCATGGCAGGACTCAGTGACAATAAGGGAAGCCCCTTTTTTGCAGAAAAGCGTGTTACAGCTCAGTTGTGACAGCAACCTGGATCCAGGAGAGAGACCAAGCAGCACTCAGAGAGTTGGAGAACTAAGGTTTATTATGCCAGCAGGCCCAGAGGAGTTAACACTTTGAACTCTGGACCTCATCTTTAGGTTTACACAGGCTTTTATAGGCTACCAGTCTAGACTTTGGAACATTTTGCAATATCATATGCAAATAAGGTATAACAAAGGTGACTAATTAGGAACAAGCTTTGTAGAAATGGACCAATCAAGAGTGAGAGAAATGGGCCAATCAGGAGTGATTGAAATGGACCAATCAGGAGTGAGCTCCATGCAAATGAAGCACTACAAATGGACCAATCAGGAGTTAGCTCAGGAAACAATAGACTCTTAGGGATAAGTTCTGCTTTCCTAGAAGTAAGCCATTTCAGAGTTTAAAAAGTGAAATAATGCCGCTGGGCCAGGGAACCGAATGGTGCTGGCAGGAGGGCAGTGGCCCTGCCTGGGGGTCCTGCTCTTTTTCATGGGGCTTCCCACCTCACCTTGTTGGGGAAAGAAGTGCAAATTCCACAAGGTGGTCACTGGGAGCAATGGAGAGATGTCAGTATTGCTTCCCACCCTTTATTCCAAAACCTGTATATTTTAGCTACTGGGGACTGCAGTCAGAGTCTCCAAATATGGCTATTGAAAATTCCTCCCATCTTTGTGCACACAAGGTGGTCCTCACATCAAAAGGTAGCATCTGAGGGGAGGGTATAGCTCAAGTGGTAGAGTGTTTAGCATGCATGAGGTCCTGGGTTCAATCTCCAGTACCTCCACTTAAAAAAAAGTAAATAAACCTAATTACTTTCCCACAACAACAACAACAACAAAAAGGTAGCATCTGTTTCCCCTCCTCTCAAATTGGTGTTGGCCTCTTGACTTGCTTTGACCAATAGATAAGGTGAGGAGGTCTGGGAGTTGAAGCCTAGGCCTTAAAAGAAGTGACAGCTTCTACTCCCTCCCTGGGGGCTGCCAGCTGCCTCACTATGAAGTAACCTGGGCTAGACTTCTGAGTGATATGATCTCATGCACAGAGATAGAAGCCATATGGAGCACTACAGAGGGGCCAGACATGTCAGTGCAGCCTTCTGGGTTCTTTGCTCAGTCCAGTTCATACAAGCAATTTTGTGAACCCAGCCAAACCACCTAAAGCAAAGAGCCCAGGGCCCAGCTAAGCCCTGTCTGAATGTCACAGAATAATGAGAAATAATAAATCATTTTTGTTTTACACCACTTAATTTTTAAGTGGCCTGTTACACAGAGATAAATAATTGACCTGCTTCATCATCAAATGGATTTCTTGATGTGAGGCAGTGTTGTGTTGGATCCCATGTCAGTGAAGTAGGCATTCTGCAGGCCGTAGCGTGTGGTGTGCTGGTGTGGAGCTTTCCTGAAAAGCAAATACACATCTGGATACATTGGCAGTTCCATAGGGGTGAATCGCGGTCCCCTACCGTCAAAGGAGAGCACTTCTCAGTGGTACATTGTCAGTCTTGGGTGTACTAGTAGTACCTGCAGTAGCCTTGGTGGATGGCAGACTATGAGCTCAGAGAGGGACTACCACCAAGTAGTAGTCACAGAACTGAACACCAGTTCCATGCTTGATTTAACTTTCACGAAAGTCATATATGACAGGCACCATTTTCACAGGTGTAAAAAAAAATTGTGTCTGAGGGTAGCCAGGTTCATGGCTAGCAAGAAGATACACGAGATTGGTTTTCTTGTTTTGGGTTGTCTATATGTATCTCACTTTATTGCAGTTCAGCCTTAGGTGGAGCATACATTTTCTGGGCTCCAGGGTAAAATCCGGGTTGATACTTTGGGCTCCGCCCCTTAGACGGCTTGCTTGCCCACTCTAGCCTCAGGCTCCGCCCCTCTTGCGAAACTACATTTCCCAGCAGGCGAAGCGCCGGCACCAACGCACTTCCTCCCGGCATCCCTCACTACGGGAAGGAGCCGAGCGGGCTCGAGGCCGACGCGACCCGCCTTCGTCGCCGCCGCTGCCGCTGCCGCCACCGTCACCGCCTGAGAAGCCGTCGCGGCTGTCCCTGCCGCTCCCGCCGGCTGCCATGTCCGCCCAGGCGCAGATGCGGGCCCTGCTGGACCAGCTCATGGGCACTGCCCGGGACGGTGAGTCGGGGCGGCCGGCCAGGCGAGGGTTGGGGCGGGAGTGAGGCGAGGCCGCCGGGCGGCCTGAGGCGGGGGCCGCGACTGTCTGCGCCTGCGCGGGCGCCCTCCCCTCCCCCGCGCGGCGACCGCGGGCG